CATGACGTATTGTGACTTTTTTGCCATTGCTGGCAATGGGGTGGGCACGGTTTCGCTATGATGCATCCGGCCTGCGGGCCAGCAGTTTGACACCCCTGCATTAAAGTGATATAGCCCAACAGATTCCCTTCAGTTGGGTTTCCAAAACTCCACAAAGTAATTAGATCACATATGATCTATCTTTATATCTGGAACTATTACAGGTAGTCCTTGATTTACAACTACAATGAAGTCCACAATTTCTGCTGCTGAGCAAGGCAGTTGTTAAGTGAATCACATGGTCATTAAAGTGAATCAAGCTTCCATCACTGACTTTGTTGGAAGCCAGCTTGGAAGGTTACACAGGGTGATCATATGACTCTGGGACAGTGGAACTGTCATATATACAGGTGAAACTCGAAAAATTAGAATATCGTGCAAAAGTTCATTTATTTCAGTAATGCAACTTAAAAGGTGAACCTAATATATGAGATAGACTCATTACATGCAAAGCAAGATAGTTCAAGCCGTGCTGTGTCATAAGTGAGATGATTATAGCTTACAGCTCATGAAAACCCCAAATCCACAATCTCAGAAAATTAGAATATTGTGAAAAGGTTCAATATTCTAGGCTCAAAGTGTCCCACTCTAATCAGCTAATTAAGCCATAACACCTGCAAAGGGTTCCTGGAAAGGGTCAAGTCACCCCGTAGAGGCGACAAGCAAGGAGGGAACCCTCATTGATTGTGGGAGGGCAGTGGCCTTCTATTTGATCTGAAGAAGCCCTCCAAAGCCCTTGTGTAGCCAGTCAGAAGCTGCTGACAATGGAAGACAATAAGCACCAACGAGCAACATTTCAGCAACGTGGATGAAACTGGGTGAGACTCTATCCTCTCTTTATGATTCTAACACTTTTTCCTGGAAAAAATTGCCCAAAGCACCCTCCCTGATGAGAGCGAGATGGGGAATTTCCACCCCATTCTCTCAGGAAAAGAAAAGCAGCGAATTAATTGCTTGGGGGAAAGCAGAGAAAATTACAAGTTTAACTTGGAATTAATATACATACATGGCTTTGAAATTTGGGGACTAAAAGTGCTTTTGAGACTTTTTTTTAAAAAAGAGACTTGAAAAGCTTGTAATATAAGTTTGGATTTAAAAAGCTAGAAAACGCTGTTAATAACATCTAGTGGCAAAATACAGCACTACAATTTGTTATGCTCAAAAGAAACTTGGCTTGAAGCCCAGATTCAGGTAAAACTCTTGCTGTCCTTGGAAACTTTCACTTTTGAAGACTGCAGCTGAGAAAAGGGGGGGGGACTCTTGGACTGCTTATCGGTGTGGCAGAGATGATGAACTATTTTGAAACTGAACTATGTTTAAAGTATTTTTAGAAAAACACTCAGCCCATTGATATTCATTAAACAGCCTTCCTCCTTCTCCAATTCCTCACAGTTCTCCTAACAACTCTATCTTCCAGAACTATGAATATAAATATTAACTGACTTTCAGAGCTGTGTTGTGGAACTATTTCCCTGCAGGAGAATCACACATCATTGCTTAAGCTGGTGGAATATTTCGGATTATAAATCTTTGATTGATGAACAATTTTTACTATAAAGACCACCTACAAAAACAAAATGGATATCCCATACTCAGCTTTAAATAGTAAAAAGCCATCCCTAACACCTGTCTCCAAAGTCTTCAGTTTGATATACCACCAAGAAAATATGGATGAAGATCAGAAAGAAATTCTCTTCATGTTGAAATCAATACAAGAGACAATTGCTTTAGCTCGCAATGAGACTAAAAATAACACAAAGGAGATAAAAGAACAATTTTTAATCTAAATTTACAAACCCAGAAAATGACTACAAAGAAGGAACTAGCAACCCAGGAAATAGAACGAAAACTAGAGGAAGCAGATCCAAAGATGGAGGACCTAAAGGAAGGAACTAACAGACAGAATCAGACAATTGAGGAACTAGAAGACGTAGCAATAATATCGGAAATGGAAAAGACATCTTACCAACCAAGATTTCAGAACATATTTGAGGAAAAGGAAGAAGAACTGATGGAATGGAAGATAGAGTTGTTAGGAGAACTGTGGGGAAATGGAGAAGGAGGAAGGCTGTTTAATGAATATCAATGGGCTGAGTGTTTTTCTAAAAATACTTTAAACAAATGGCCTTTTTTGTTCCAAACAATATACACAAAAACAGAGGAAGAATTACTTGATGATTCAAATGCATTGACTTGGATAGTTAGTTGGCAAAGGAAGAAAGCTACAGTAAGACTGAAGAAAATAGAGGTTTTGACCCATTAGATGGGATATTATACTATTAATTAGATGTTTGAATATGGTGGAGAATAGATAATTGCTAGAAATAGAAGTATTATTATAACTTGAAAGATAAGATTTGTAATTAGAATATTAGATTTTGGTATGAGAAGGGAAACAGGAAAATACTAAGACGTTTGAATAAGGGAAGCTTTTGGTTACCCAGACATAACTTACTTTGGAATTATAAACAATAGAGACATTCTGAACACTGATGGGAAATTAAAATTAAAAAAGAGAGAGAAAACAGGATACTGATTAAACATATGGATATTAAGTGCAAATGCAATTAAGTAATGTTTTGGTTAGAAAAGATATCTTAAATTGACATTATTGATATTATCAGAAAAATATAACAAAGATGTTGATACTCAATTATATATTTACTAATAACAATAAGAATTGTATTTGCCTAGTGTAGGAAAACAGGTACTATCGGAAGAAGAGAGGAAACATCTGACGGTGTATATAGACCACTGAATTACTAATTGACCTAGACAACACGTTGTTTATTAAGTAAAGTTGACTGTAAAATTAGAAAATTAATAAAATATTTATTTAAAAAATGTCATGAAGAGCAGTCACAAATTTTTATAAATGCTTGGGGGAGGTATAAGAATAATTTGAAAAAAAGAGAGCAGTGACATTACTCTAAATATATGTAAAAGCTGCCATATAACTTTTATAAGGGTCATCCGAATGCCAAACATCAGCATTGATCTATAGAGATGTGAGACAGCACATTTAATTGATTTAGGAACAATAAAGCAGGGAAATCTGAACCTTTTAATAATATTATTAATCTATCCTTTTATGAAGGCTTTAGCAAGAATGTAACATAAATACAGGATGCAAGCTAGCATTGCAAAATGTGGTGTTTTGTAATTACATGCCTTCTAATCCACAAGAAATAAACAACTACCATTGGCTACTAGAGCAGCCAATGACCCATTTGGCCTAGAGCTGCTTCACCAAATGTTGCACTCTTAATTTGCAGTCACTCAGATATTTGTGTGAAATATCACCTTGCACTCTAGACTGAAATGCACTGTCACAAGCTAACCCAGAAATCCAATAATTTGGCAGCAGCCAAGCAGAAAGAAAAAACGTTAAGGTAATTCCAGACAAACTTTGCTAAAAGACATGAATCTACCCTAGAAGGCAAGGGAGGGCTTTGATAAACAAATATGAGACAATTAAAGGCAAAATGCAGAAGTCACAGAGATAGGAAGAGATAGGAGGAACTGATAGCAGATAAACTTCCCGAGGGAAGCAAGAGATGACAGAAGACTTAAGAGTTTTGAAACCCCTGAAGTCAACCAAGTCTTCAAACTGAATAGTAACAAATATCAGTTTCTTTTTTTTTCCAGTTTTTTTTCCTTCTAAAGTTTTATTAGTTTATAATATACGAAATGCCAGTTTCCTAGGGAACGTAGCATAGTTTAAAATGACTACGAATTTGAATTTTTAGGAGTAGTGTAAACTGTCCTGCCTAATACTTGTGTTGAACACTCATTTTAGGTGTAGAGGTATATGCCTTTCAGAGTTTGAGTTTGGAATTGGGGAGTTCTGAGATCTAGCTGTGACAAAAAAAAAAGATAGCTTAAAGGAAAGGAAAACTTTAAATCTTTCAAAACTGAACAAAGAGTACAAATAGTTCTAGGAAAGGCTGTAGTGAACAGGCAGTCAGAATCAGTTACAATTAGCAAAATGATTGGGGGGGGGAGGGAAAGCAGTCTTAAAATTCTTCCAAGGTAAGTGATTAATAGATGTCTCAGCTGATAGTTCCTCTAGTAATCTCAACCTGAGAGGTATATCTCTATAAATGGAGGTGGAGGGAAAAAGGCAAACTCATAAAATGAGGTTGCTTTGGCATAGACTAGACTAGAAGAACTTTTGTATCTCCAGATACAATTGAATCCTAACTCCTATAGCCTTAGTTTAACTAGCTGGTGAGAAAAGATGCTGGACATTGTAATTAAGCAACTTGTGAAGACCCAAACCCAAATAATATTATAATTCAATACTTTCCAATTAGTCACGTTAACTTGGTATAAAACAAACCCCATAACTTTTGTGCCTTGGAAACTAATTTCCGTAAGAGGGAGGGTTTTAACTACAGTAGACTGGACTTGGCTATTTATGTGCAGTTTCCAAAATTTATCTAAGGCATTTTTTTTACCATTTTAAATAGCATTTTAAATGTGAGATAATGTACACTGAAATCTGCTTCCAGAAATTCCCCATTACAGAAAGAAAACTTGATATTATTGGTCCTTATTTCTTTAAACTTCTAAGGATTTCATATTGTTCTTCAATACTCCAACTTTGAGGTATTATTATTCTTATTATTTGTGCAACTGGGTTCTTGATTTTCTCACTAATAGTATGTGCGAGTTGGGGACTAATATTTCTAACACCATGTTCTTGAGCACAGGTTCTCCTCAGGGCTGTGTCCTAAGTCCACTGTTGTTAACCCTGTTGACCCATGATCGTTCTGCAAGGTTTGCTATCAACCATATTGTGAAGTATACAGATGATACAACAGTGGTGTACATGATGATACATTCAGGATGATAATGAGAGCAATTACCAGGAGGAGGTAGAGGATTTGGTGAACTGATGTAATAAAAACAGCCTGATTTTAAATGTAGGAAAAAGAAGAGAGATCATTGTTGATTACAGAAAAGGCAGGCACAGCCAATTGTGCAGGTGATTAGTCATATCAAGTTTTTGGGTGTGCTGCTGACGAGCAGGTGAGCTTGGTCCTTCAACAGTGGGACACTGGTGAAACAGGCACAGCAGCACCCACATTTTCTGCCTCGTATGAGAAGAGCACATCTTCCTTCCCTTATCACTTCCTTACCACTTTCTACAGAGGGACGATTGAAAGCATCCTGTCGCACTGTATTACTGTGTGGTTAGGAGGTATTACTATTTCTGACAGGAAGGCTGTGCAGAGAGTGGTGAGGATGGCAGAAAAGATTATTGGAAGTTCACTTCCTTCTATCCAGGACATGGCATATAAGCGCTGCTTGACCAGGGTCTGCTGTATTGTCAGGGATGCTACACATCCTCTCCATGACCAGTTTTCTTTGTTACCTTCTGGGAGGAGACTTTGTGGTATCCGAAGCAGAAAAACTAGATTCTGTAATAGTTTTGTGCTATATAGCATCAACCTTGTAAAGTCTCAAGACTCTTTTTTGCTCTCTCTCTCTCTCTCTCTCTCTCTCTCTCTCTCTCTCTCTCTCTCTCTGTGTGTGTGTGTGTGTGTGCGTGTGTGCGTGTGTGCGTGTGTATGTATATTTCTATTATTAAGTGAGACATTGGTTAAGTGAGTTTTGCCCCATTTTATAACTTTTCCTTACGACCCTAATTGAGCCCAGTTCTTAAACGGGACATTGGTTAAGTAAGTTTTGTCCCATTTTACAACTTTTCTTGCCACAGTTGTTAAGTGAATCACTGCACTTGATAAGTTAGTAACTCGGTTGTCAAGTGAATCTGGTTTCCCCATTGACTTTGCTTGTCAGAACGTTGCAAAAGGTGGTCACATGACCCTGGGACACAGCAAAGGTCATAAATATGAACCATTTGCCAAGCATCTGAATTTTGATCACATGATCATGGGGATGCTGCAAAGGACGTAATTATGAAACACAGTCATAAGTGACATTTTTCAGTGACATAACCATGAATGGTCACTAAACGAACTGTTGTAAGTCGAGGACTTTGAGAGCAGGCGTCAGAATTTCATTTTTTAGTGAGCGCCGGTGTGTTCACAGAAAAAAAAAGTGGCAACAAAGGTTATCTTATCAGCACTGAAACAGAAAAATCTCTTGGATCTGAGCTTGCCTTACCTTGTACAAGTTGATGGGAATGTCGATCAGGATGAGCAGCAGATCCCCCAGGGCCAGGCTGGCGATGAGGAGGTTAGGGCCGTTCCTCATGCATTTGTTCTTGTAGATGATTCGGAGCAAGGTGGAGTTGCCGATGATGCCCAGCACGAAGACCAGGCAAGCGATCACCGTGTTAACGTATTTGAAAGTATTCTTGATCCCCGTCTGGATGTGGCACGTCGGGTAAACGGGGGGAGGCGCTCGGCCAGCCACGCCAGGCGATCCCGGGCGAGAAGCGTTGGGACTCCCTAACCTTTCCTCCACCTCGGCTGCCATGGGAGCCGCGCTCGTCCAGGACGAGGCAGCCGGGCTCTGCGCGGTGATCCCCGACAGGCGCGGCGAAGAGTTGCCGAGCTCCAGTGCGCGGGTGCCGCCCACGCAGCACACTGCGGCTGCCGAGATCCAGAAGCCCCACAGGATGCGCCCATCCATGATCGCAGGGCGGCTCCGACAGAAGGAACCGCAGAAGCTGGAGAGGCGGGAGGGGGGGGGAGACAGAAAGAAAAGCCACCAGAAGGATCAGACGCCGCTACTACGGGATCTCTCGCTTCGGCTGGCAACGGATCCCCCCCCTCCCCGGCAACCAATCGCAGCCAGCCGGAGCACGTGCGCCCAGCCGGAGCCAGCGAGCCTCGCCGTCTGACCGACCCCCGGCGTTACGCGCTGTCGAAGAAGCCCAGGGAGAGGCGGGGCGCCTGGGACGACGATTCGCTTTGGGCCGAGAATCGTCGCTTCCTGGATAAACACACAACTCGGAGCGACTCTGCTTGGAAGAGGCTTTACGCGGGCGAGGAGCCAGTGCTGGGGAAAGAGCGGAGCAAGGGGGGGGGACGCGGGGGACGCAGACCTCTGCCTTGATAAAATTGGGAGCTCCGCTTTTCCCACGCCTTCAGGTGGAGGGGAAGTGGGGGGGGAGCTCTAATGCTACATATTAAACAAGGAACGGGCGGGAAAGCTTCGGTAGTCGGCGGAAAACTCCGTCCGGAGTCATTTTTATTAGGGAAACTGGAACCCGAGAAGATCTGTGGGAAAGAATGTATATAATTTGTGAATTTTTATTTTTTATGGTTGCCCTTCTTTTATTGACGTCTGTTGTTGACGTCTGTGGATTCCTTAATTACGTTTAAAAAAAAGCGCCCACCCTCAAAAAAAAAAAAACCCGGTGAAGGAAGAATGTAGAAAGATGCTCCACAATTTTTTAAAAGAGAGAAATTTCAAGAAATATCAACGGTTACAATCCACGTCGCTTACCTGGGATAAAGTACTGCACTGCACATACATTGTGAATCAGAATTCAGCCTTAATTGTCGCCAGCGTTTACTGTAACCACCTGGAGTATAAACTTCCAAATCGTGGTATTAAACTGTGGATTGCTCTCAATTAATACATTAAAAAAAACACACACACACATTTCCCTCATTTCCGTTAAGCTTACTCCCAAGTAAATAAATAAACATGAAAATGAGTTAATAAACTCTAAAGAAGAGAATAAATCAAATAAATGTAAAGGTTAACTTTCAATAAATTAGTAAGAGTACATTTTTGTTGTTGTTAAGTTGCATATTTGTCTTTGACTTTTCACCTTAAAAGTTGTCTTGTGTTGGAACGAGATGGATTTAGCTCCCAGTGGTTGATAATGTCCTTTGTGGCTTGCATTCAGGTGTCCATTGACTGACCATCCTCTGTGAAGTTCTGAAGGGACAATACTGATGGGAGCAAGGCTACATGGCTCAGTTCTTGCTTAATTTCCAGCAAATCAGGCTAGCTATCTGGAATCCCCCCCTCCTTCCAGACGTATACTTGTATAATTTCTATCATTCACAAACTCCCCCTCCCTCCCATCTTTAAAAGTCTGGAAATCATCAGGAAGTCATCCTTAGCAGGGCATGCAAAAAGTGTCTGAGAAGCAAATCTTTACAAGCTTGAAAAATTATACAAGCAATATGCGAACGTGTGGTATAGCTCAGAGGTCCCCAACCTTTTGGGCACCAGGGATCGGTTCCGTGGAGAGAGATTTTTCCGTGGACCGGAGGGGGCATGGTTTCGTGTACTGCCTGCATCCCGCGGATGGGGCTTTGCTTGTTTGGTCCAGTTACTGGCATGCCACGGCCCAGTGCCGGTCCACAGACCGGGGGTTGGGGACCCCTGGTATAGCTGACTGGGTATATTGACTGCGAAAGACAAATGTTGTAGTTAACATGTGCAGGGCTACAGATTACAGGAAAATAGGGAGAATTTTCATCAGTTGATATGGCATGGCAGATCTCTGCTAAGCTCCACTAAGTACAGAAGTCTCTTTGCCATTACTTTCTTCCAATATATTTTTAAGTTCTCCAATATAGCTATAGGCTAATAGCCTTCCATCTAAACCAGTTTTGGAGATGATGTTCCAAAACTGAACTGGAACATGGTGATTATTTATAAATGTATAGATCTTATTTATGTAGCTGTCCATCTTACAATCAAGCGACTCTGGACAGTGTACAATTGTGGTGTACAACAAGGTTAATAGTATATATTAATATTTAATATTAATATATTAATATGTAATATTAACCTTAAGAACTTTAAAATTGTAAAAGGAATTAGAACCAGCAGAAAAGGGCTACTGACTAGGAACTGCCAGATGAAACTCCTCATCAACAAGACCTGCAGCATACTCTCTCTACTGGAAAGTCATTTTGGTCTAGTGATTAAGGCACTAGGCTAGAAACCAGGAGTCTTGTGAGTTCTAGTCCCACCTTAGGTACGAAAGTCGACTGAGTGACTTTGGTCTAGTCACAATCTCTCCGCTCAATTCAGTTCACAGAGTTGTTGTGGGGAAAATAGGAGGAGGGAGGATTTTGTATATTCACTGCCTTGAGTTATTTGTAAAAATAATAAAGGGGGGAATAAAAAAATCTAAATATATTAAAAAATCTGGTGGGTGTGGGGGAAGAAAAGTTACTATTCAGTCTTGAGTGTATTGGGGGAAAGCTGAGACACAAATCTCTTGGTTTTAGTTATTTAGTTATTTAGTTATTTAGTTATTCCAGACATTGTTATGGCTACAAGTCTGGAATAGAAAATTGCTTTTTCAACAGTGAAAGAAGGAAAATGTTGAAATCTGCCTCTGGTAAGGCATTGTGTTGCTTAACTGCAGTATACCATAAACTGCATAGAAAAGTCTCACCCTAAGCAGCAGTTCAAGGCTGCAGTTTCAGGAGAAAATCGGTAGGTTTAGCACTTATAGCTTTGATTCTGAAAAGCTTTCTTCAGAAGCATTTCCTTTGTAAATCAAGGAAATGGTAATTGAACCAAAGTTGTAAATAACTGCTTGGTATATATGCCATTTACGATAGATTTATAATAACAGATAATATATGAATTATTTTCTGTGTTTCTTATTTTATTTTTTTGCTCTTCTAACTTATGCCAGTGAAACATGGACATTAACCTCACAATCGATACAGCCAAAAGAGCCATGGGAAGATACATGCTTGGCATCACAAGACAAGACAGAAAGACCTGCACATGGATTAGAGAACAAACGAAAGTATACAGTATCATCAAGAGAGTAAAAGAACTGAAATGGAAACGGGCTGGTCACATAGCAAGAAGAATTGATGGCAGGTGGACCAAGGCAGTCACAGAATGGATCCTGCTTGATAAAAAGCATCCATGAAAGAGACCTAAAGCAAGATGGATCAACGACATCAGCAAGTATTGCGGGCCCCGTTGGCAAAAGAATGCTCAGGACCGAATTGGTTGGAAACATACAGAAGAGGCCTTCATCCTGCAGTGGATAGACAATGGCTATGATGATGATTGAAAGTTGGACCATAAGAAAGGCTGAGCGACAAAGAATTGAGGCCTTTGAACTATGGTGCTGGAGAAGACTCCTGCGAGTCCCTTGGACTGCAAGGCGTTCAAACCGGTCAGTCCTAGAAGAGATCAACCCCGACTGCTCTTTAGAAGGCCAGATCCTGAAGTTGAAACTCAAATACTTTGGCCACCTAATGAGAAGGAAGGACTCACTGGAGAAGAGCCTAATGCTGGGAAAGATTGAGGGCAATAGAAGAAGGGGACAACAGAGAATGAGGTGGCTGGATGGAGTCACTAAGCAGTAGGCGTGAGCTTAAAGGGACTCCAGAAGATGGTAGAGGACAGGAAGGCTTGGAGGAACGTTGTCCATGGGGTCGCAATGGGTCGGACACGACTTCGCAATTAACAACAACGACGATGATGATTATTCTTGCTGTGCATGGAATCTCTGTAAGGATCCAAATGAGAACTTAAAGTCATAAAATGTAATAATCGGGGGGGAGGGGAATCCCCTATTATTAATAGAAAAATAGGAAAAATCATGACGTGACTCAGAGGGGTAGCTTGATGACTTCTCAAAGGTCAGAACAGGAAGGCCATTTCCTGTTTAGCTAAAATAACTTACAGTAGTTTTAAAATTCCCATTTCAAATACCATTAGGAGGATCTTGTTTTGAAATCTTCAGTAGCACAGGATGTATGCGCGAACAAAGAGGTTTCAGTGAGGAATTAAAGTTTCCTGACTTTTTTTTCAACTTGCTTATTATAAGCAGCTGGGAAATCTTTAAATTTTCACAAAAACATGAAGAGTTAAATCCTAAACCAATGAAAGGTGCAAGTAATTTGCCAAGGCCAATTTCCCATCTGTTGCTGGGCAGGAATGGGTGTGAAGATTCACCAAAGCTACAGGTCTTAATTGTATTCCTCACTACTTAACTCCTGAGGATTATTTTTTTGTAATTATGGAAATAAATTACATCAATAAGACATCTCAGTCGAATGCATGATTTGCTATTATTCAAATGTTTTCAAGATTTTAGAATAGAAGCACCCAGTTTCTCTTTTTCCTACTCTGCAGTTGGGATTCAATTTATTTTGAGCTTTAAGTCTCAATATCAAACGTAGCAAAATTACATCCCTAGCTATTTGTTAATAAAGATCCCTACATCATGTGATCTCTCTCTCTGTGTGTGTATGTGTGTGTTTGTGTGTTGTATCATATTACATATACACAATAAATATAATATATATGTGCCAATACTTTACTTTTCCATAAATGTAAATAACACTATTCAGTCTATTTTACTTCTGCAAAATAAAGTGATGAACTAGATGTTTCTGTTTTGTGAGCAAAACTTGATATTGAACATTCACTAGTAAGGAATCCTTGAATAAATAGGTCAGATTTCCCAACCCATACATTCCCAGTGGGTTATAATTTCCATTATTCCCAACCAGGAAGCTAGTTGTAGAGGCTGTAGGGTTTTCAACCAGTGGTACGGGTACCACCTGGCAAGTGGTACGCGACCATCTTAGAAAAGTGGTAGCGGGAGGGAGGAATGAGCTGAACCGGTGGCAGCACCGCACAAGCCTGAGCAAGAGATGGCTGGAGCTGCAGGGCTGTCAGGG